TAGCCGTCCTCCTCTCTCCCCCAACTTCATCATACACAGGCCCCTTCCTAAAATCCTGTCTTCTCAGTGTAATTAATATCATGATGTTGATGAGATCAGTATTCTTCATTTATATTATTATTATTTTTGACATAGGGTCTTCCTCTGTCGCCCAGGCTGGAGTATAGTGGTGTGATCACAGCTCTACTGCAGCCTGACCTCCTGGGCCCGAGTGATCCTCCTACCTCAGCCTCCCAAGTACATGATCACAGGCAGGCTCCACCAATGCACCTGGCTAATTGAAAAACATTTTTTTTTGTAGTGGTGGGATCCCCCTGTGTTGCCCAGGCTGGTCTTAAACTACTGGTCTGATGTGATCCTTTTACCTAGGCCTCCCAAAGTGCTAGGATCACATAGGTGGGCCACCGCATCCAGCCTTCGTTTATATCATTATATTTTTGTGTGTTATTAAGAGCTAAGCCTTGTAGCAAAACTGTGGCTTCATTATTATTTCTGTACATGTTAATTTTTTTCTTGGATGGAGTTACTAATTGTCTTACGCTTTGTTTTTTTTTCCCATTTGCTTGTCCTTTTGGATCTTGATTTTGCATTAGCAGCTTTCTAAGGGTACCTGGAAGCTTGCGTGCGAGCATTCAGGAGCAGGGCACTGAAATATGAATCGGAAGCTGTGAATACATTTGGAGGGCTTGTCAGCCATCAGCTTCACCATAGACTCATTTCTTAAGCTGGTTCCCTTCTTTCAGTCTCTTGCCTAGACGGTGAAAGCCTGGCTGCCAGCCCTTCTGGAACAAAGTAAGGGAGGACGGCTGGTGGCCTCAGCATCCTATGTGCATGTATTCATCTAGTTCCATTCACATGCCTTCAACTGTGCCATTCCTCCTCCAACACCACAGCTGCCAGTTCAGAGGCTCTCCCTTTAGTCTTTCTAGAAAACAAACTTCCAGTTATTTGTTGGGGTATATGTGGGATGGGCAAATAGCCCAGGTGTGCAGGGTGGGGGAGAACATCTATGGATCTGGCCACTTCTTAGATGTGCAGCCGGGCCTGCTTAGTTTAGCATTTCCTCTACCCTAGAGCCTTTTGGAGCTTCTAAGGGGTAAAATGAGGTGGGTCTTATCTTTCCCCACTGCCAACTTAGGATTCAGGTCTGGATTCAGGTCTGCTGTGTCGTTTGTCACTCTTCCATCTGCGTTCTAGCTTCCAATATTCTGCAGCAATTGTCTCCTGCTTTATTCTCTCTGTCCTTGTTGGTTCGTGTCTTTAGAATAGAAATTCTTTTACTGTTCCTGAATGGAGTTTGGGGAGGAAGTAAAGGTGGCCTCGGCCTCATACATTTAAACTTCTCTTTTTACCTGAAAGCCTCACCATTGCTGCTTATTTACTGAACTGCCAAGGGTCTGAATTTTTAACAAGGAAATTCTAATGGTTCTTGGTAAACTCTAAAATTTACTTCAGAGAAGGAATGACAGACCACAGCCCTTTGATTAAGAAAATGTGTTTTTTTTAGTTTTTTTTTTTTTATGCCAGAGCCTTTCAAAAGATTTAGTTCCTTACCCATAACTTCCTCCTCCGTCTTCCATCTGCACACTCCTTTCTACCTGCTTCAACTCTCATTGTGTTTCCAGTAGAAAATGAAAGTTTTTATGGAGCAGTCATGGGAGGCATTGGGTTCTAGGGAATGTAGGTAGTTATGGGAAGACAGAAAAATAGGAGAGGTGGAGTCTGTATAGCCCATCATGTCATATCCATGTCATTCTTTCATCAAGACATCTGTGACTGTCCCTACCTCCTTCTTTCTGTCTTGGAATCATAGCAGTGATTCTCTTTGAGGCTGTGGTTTTGCTTCATGCCCAGTAGAAGCTATCACTTGATTGGCTTCAATGTCTCTGGATTTAATTGTCCCTTTAAGGAGGAGTATGCCTTCAACTTGTTCTTTTTGTTGGAGACCTAGTCTCACCCAGGCTGGAGTGCAGTTGCACGATCTTGGCTCACTGCAACCTCTGCCTCTCAGGTTCAAGCAATTCTCCTGCCTCAGCCTCTCAAGTAGTTGGAATTACAGGCACGTGCCATCACACCTGGCTAATTTTTGTGCTTTTGGTAGAGATGGGGTTTCACCATGTTACCCAGGCTGGCCTCGAACTCCTGACCTCAAGTGATCCACCCACCTCGGCCTCCCAAAGTGCTGGAATTACAGCCACAGCTCCTGGCCTACCTTCAACTTCTTAGCTACAAAGAAAGGGATCTCAAGAGTGGCCATTGTGGTTCCAGAAGCAGGGTACAGCTTCCAGGCAGGTTGGAGAGAATGGCTGGCTCTGGGGGGGGTGTCCAGCAGTTCTGACCATGTCCTTTTGTGTCTCTCTTTCAAGTAACTCCCTTCATGGCTTCCAAACTTGAATCTCACCAAAATATTATTTATTTTTAACTAAGTCCTACCTTCCTGAGTTCAGAATTTGTTTTGAGATAGACAAAGGAACTATGCACATGAAGATCAAAATCTAATCTCTATTCTTGGTTTTTACTGGTAAAGCACTTTAAAAAATGTCGTGTTAGGTCTGCCGGCCAGTAGGGGCATGTTAATATTTCAGCTCGGAATTTGACATCCAATCACGGACCACATTGGACAACCATAGGCCAGTTTGGTCAGTGATTGGATGTCAGATGTGTTTAAACCTCTAAAACTTAAGGCAAGAAAAAGAACAATAACTCTTTCTCTGAAGGAGGGTGTGAAGGGCCGAAAGAGATTTGTGCTAACAGAAGCTCCTCCCTCTGGGAGCATGAGGAGTGGAGAAACGTGTTCCGTAACAGAAGGTGATATCCCATAGCAAAGACATTGGGTCAATTAAATGCCTATCGATGTTAGACTGAATAAAGAAATGTGGTACATCTACACCGTGGAATACTATGCAGTCATAAAAAAGAATGAGATAATGCCCTTTGCAGCAATATGGATGGGGCTGGAGGTCATTATCCTAAGTGAACTAACACAGCATCAGAAAACCAAATACTGCACCTTCTTACTTATAGTGGGAGGTGAACACTGAGTACACATGGATACAAAGAAGGGAAGAACAGACACCAGGGCCTACTGGAGGGTGGAGGGTGGGAGGAGGGTGAGGACAGAAAAGCTACCTATCAGGCTGGGCACAGTAGCTCAAGCCTGTAATCCCAGCACTTCAGGAGGCCAAGGTGGGAGGACTGCTTGAGCCCAGGAGTTCAAGACTAGCCTGAGCAACATAGTGAGAACCTGTCTCTTTAAAAAAAAACAAAAACAAAAAAATTAAGCTGGGTGGGTGTGGTGGCATATACCTGTAGTCCCAGCTACTTGGGAGGGTGAGGTGGGAGAATCACTTGAGACATTGGATATTGGGTATACAAGAGGTTGAACCTGCAGTGAACTGTGATCATGCCACTGCATTCCAACCTGGGCAACAGAGCGAGACCCTGTCTCAAAAAAGAAAAACTACCTGTTGAGTACTATGCTTATTACCTGGGTGACAAAATAATCTATACACTAAACCTGCTCCCACCCTGCCCCATGATGCAGTTTACCCAAGTTTGTTACACAAACTTGCACCTGAACCTAAAATAGAAGTTAAAAAAAGATGATACCAATTCTTCTTTTTTTTTTTTTTTTTTTTGAGACGGAGTCTCGCTGTGTCGCCCAGGGTGGAGTGCAGTGGCCGGATCTCAGCTCATTGCAAGCTCCGCCTCCCGGGTTTTTACGCCATTCTCCTGCCTCAGCCTCCCGAGTAGCCGGGACTACAGGCGCCCACCACCTCGCCCGGCTAGTTTTTTGTATTTTTTTTTTTTTTTTTTTTTGAGACGGAGTCTTGCTCTGTCGCCCAGGCTGGGGTGCAGTGGCTGGATCTCAGCTCACTGCAAGCTCCACCTCCCGGGTTTACGCCATTCTCCTGCCTCAGCCTCCTGAGTAGCTGGGACTACAGGCGCCCGCCACCTCGCCCGGCTAGTTTTGTGTATTTTTTAGTAGAGATGGGGTTTCACCGTGTTAGCCAGGATGGTCTCGAACTCCTGACCTCGTGATCCGCCCGTCTCGGCCTCCCAAAGTGCTGGGATTACAGGCTTGAGCCACCGCGCCCGGCCGATACCAATTCTTCTTAAGACACATGATTAATGTATAGCAGATGCTCAGAAAAAATACTATGTTAAATCAGGTTGTATGACACATTCAGATTTCAGAAACGTGAAAGTCATTTTTACATCTTAGAAATGAGGGGAGTATAGTGTTATAAGTTATCAGCCATTCATTCCTTTGATAAAAAGTCTCTAAGGTTTGGACCAAATGGAGAGTACACCCTCAACTGGAATGGGGAGCCCCAGCTCTAATCCCAGTCCTGTTACAAACTAGTTAGTTAGGAGTCCTTGGCTCCGTTGAACCTCTACACCTGCTTTTCATCTGCTCAGCAAGGAGTGGAAGACCAGCTAAACAGATAAAAGGGACTAAGGGTAAGACCTGAACTCCCACAGCTAATTAATTGCAGAGTGGGCGTGAAAACCCAAGTGTCCCCCTTCCCTAGTCTCATGTGTTTAGATTGGCCTGAATTGAATTTGGACAAGATAGTTACAGCACAAAGTAATCATTGCTTTGCTCACTCTTTCACTCATTCAACTGGTATCAATTGAGCATTTTTTAAATGCTAAATACTGTGTTGGATGAATGAGACATATTCTGTCTGTAGGAGCATACAGCCTGCTGTGTGTACAGCTGAGAGGGACCCCTGCACTGCTGCCCTCACGTGAAGGGCTTCAGACTGATCCGTGGAAGAGACCAGACCTTCCTAGTTGCCTTGAAGCCGTCGTCCCTCCTGTGCTTTCCCTGAGACCTGAAGTAGTGCCCTTTCTGCTGACGTGACCGACCGCCAAGAGCTGGCTCTCACCAGCTTACCGCAAAAGCTCTTCAAGTGCCGCAAGAGAGGAAATTACACAGCAGAGCCCAGAATCATATATTGGCCTCATTACGGGTTTTCTCTTCCTGTTTATAGGGTGCTCAAGCTGGTATTACTACGTAACCATGCCGATGCCAGCCTCCACCTTCACAATTGCAGTGGGATGCTGGACAGAAGTGAAGATGGAGCCGTGCTCATCGGGTGATTCGGCAACAGAGACACCCTTCTCACCTCCTGAGGCCGACTTCAGGTTTGTGTGGGGGGACTTGCTGGGAAGGGAAAAACACTTGAGGGAGTGGTGTGCTGCATTTCTTCCAAGCACTGGGAATGTGAGTCACTCCTGCTGAGAAACTAAACCAAAATAGGATTAATCAAAGCAGGAAAAGCCCCGTTAGAAAGGAAAGAGAGGCCGGGGCGGTGGCTCAGCCTGGAATCCCAGCACTTTGGGAGGCCGGGCGCGGTGGCTCAGTCTGGAATCCCAGCACTTTGGGAGGCCGAGGCAGGTGGATCAGGAGGTCAGGAGATCGAGACCATCCTGGCCAACATGGTGAAACCCCATCTCTACTAAAAATACAAAAAAATTAGCCAGGTGTGGTGGCGGATGCCTATAGTCCCAGCAACATGGGAGGCTGAGGCAGGAGAATGGCTTGAACCCGGGAAGCAGAGGTTGCAGTGAGCTGAGATTGTGCCACTGCACTCCAGCCTGGCGACAAACTGAGACTGTCTCAAAAAAAAAAAAAAAAAGAAGAAGAAGAAAGAGAGGCTGGGCGCGGTGGCTCAGGCCTATAATCCCCACTTTGAGAGGTTGAGGTGGGCGGATCACGAGGTCAGGAGTTCAAGACCAGCCTGGCCAACATGGTGAAACCCCATCTCTACTAAAAATATAGAAATTAGCCAGGCGTGGTGGCACCTGTCTGTAATCCCAGCTATTCGGGAGGCTGAGGCAGGAGAATTGCTTGAACCTGGGAGGCAGAGGTTGCAGTGAGCGGAGATTGCGCCGTTGCACTCCAGCCTGGCGACAGAGCGAGACTCTGTCTTGGAAAAGAAAGGAAAAAGAGCTGAGAAGAAGAGATGTGAGCCTATTATTTATGCAGAAAGAGAGAAGAAGGTAAGTCTAGATGAAATCCTGCGAAGTGTGCTGAAAGATTTATATGTGTTTGGCTAAATTCAAGGAACCCTCAGATTCAATGCCTCCTCTCCTCCCATGCCTTTTAGGTTTGGTTTTCGGTGCTTATGTGGTCAAAAACAAAGCTGCTGATGGATTACTTTCTATGCTACTCTGCTGTGTTGGTTGTACCGACTGCTGTCAGCGGTGCACTGTGGGGACAGCAGCTCCCTCAGTGGGGCTAGTCGCTGCTTTAGGAGCACAGGACACAAGGAAACTGATGCAAAGCCCTTGGGTTAAGGGAATCCTGCTCGGTCAGGGCTTTGTTAACATCAGTAGTGATTTCTTTTAAGTATGAACCAGATAAAATCATTTTGAGGCTTTAAAAAATTAGTATAGGCCATTGGATATTTACTGGCAGCCTGTCTAGATGTTCAATGGTCTCTAGCTTTGAGAGCCAAAAGAGGGAGAAGGGGGCCGCCGAGAAGATGCACAGCACATGCATCATGCAGCGCTCCTAGGATTTTATACCCAGCTCAACGGAGTCGTTTTTCCTATTGACAGACGGTCGCTAAGTCAGTACCTTCTGGTGGAGAAAGCCCAGAGTAATGGTGGAGATGATTCATTACTCCTTGAAAACCAGCTAAGATACGCTCCTAATGCAGATTCTTTTTGTGTTGGTTTTATTTTGCCTTGCTGCTTTTACGAGTACCACAGTAACTGCGGCCGTTGGTCTTCATCTTTCAGAGATGACGCTATGTTCTCTGTCTTCCGGTGGGCACGTATTATTGCCGCGTTTTGCCTTTCAGAGATGACGCTATGTTCTCTGTCTTCCGGTGGGCACGTATTATTGCCGCGTTTTGCCTTGTTTGGCGGAAGGGAGGTCATTTCCACTTCCTGTTCAGTAGCTTGCCTAGTTTGGACTGTCTTCCCTGAGCTATATGAACATCCTAGATTGCGTATTAGATTTTACTTCTGTATTCTTGAGGGAAGAAGGGAATTGTGGGCAGAAGTGACATATGCTAGTTTCATGTGGGAACTTTAATTTCGTGTGAGATCCTCCTGTGCTCTCTTCCCTGCAGTAGGATCACACGGGAGGCTTTGTTCTGTAATTGCAGGTGGCCTGAATTTCTGGGTGAGGATGACAGGTGCTCTGGAGAGCCGCTTAGATCTGCAGTGGACTTGGTATTAGCAAGAAGCACACTGTTTTGTGTTAAGCCACTGAAACACCAGGATTGTTTGTTACTGCAGCATATCCTAGGCTATCCTGAATTGATACAGTAGCCATTGGTTGTTCCAAGTCAGAAACTAAGTCTTGATCTAAATGTAATCTCCTTTAGTCCTAAGGATAGGCCTGCAAGACAGATTGGATAGATTATTATTCCCATTTATAGATAAGGCTGGTTGAAGCTCAGATAGTAACTTATTAACATTAATATACCTACTAAGTAGCAATACCTGGATTTATATCCAGGCCTGACCCCAGAGAGAGTGAGGCAGATCTTACCTGGAGACTTTAAAAAACTATATGTAACATTGATGCCTCACCTGGAGTCTGATCCACCTTCCCATCTGGAGAGTCACTGCCATGATTTGAGCCACCATGATTGACGGGAGTGTGTTGTGTTGGAACAGAAAACGGAAGTTGAGAGCAATGCCTTTGAGCTGAAAGTGCCATTCTTGGTGGTTGGATGTAGCTCTTTGGACAAAGCCACACCTTCCTTATCTACAGATGAAGGCTTTGTCCGTGGCTCCTCAGATTCTCGATGGTGACGAAGTACTCTTCTCTTTTTCATCTAAGGCCTCAGCACTGATTGATTCTTAGAGGAGCTGCTCAGTTGGAAAATGTGTGCCTTTGGAAGGCTAGGGGAAGGCCAGGACAGACATTTGTTATTTTGCCTTTCTAGCCGTATTCCAAAGAGATGTGGGTTGGGGGAGTGGGCAGCAGCCACTGACTCTGTGCTCTCTCCTTCCTGCTCAGAAGCAGCTGAAATGGCTTCTCAGTTTTCTTGCATCCACTATTCTGAAAGGAGGAAGAAATGCTTAAATCAAATGAAGATTCTGGGATGTCTAAAATTCCTGTCAGGCTTTAGGGGAAGAAGCAGGTACAACTCCTCTCTTGCCTCCTGAATTCACCAGTTGAGGAACAGACAGAGGAGATAAAAATAAAGGTTTTATTATTGACAGAAGCTGTACTGAAGGAATGCTCAGGTGGCATGGTCTCAGTGGGGTTTCTGAAACTCCATTTCCAAATGAGACAAATTTACCCACCCAGTTACCAGCCCAGCTGGACTGCTGCTGGACTCTGTAACACAGATGCAGAGTTCACCCGACACATGGCAGGAGCAGGTCCAAAGTGCACCCTCTGTGGGCACGCAGGTTCGAAAGAGAAAGCCTGTGTGGCCCAGCCAGTCAGGTAAGCTGGGGAGAGAGGTCCGGGTGCCACTCTAGGAAGCTCATCTTTCCGTGAAACTGTGAGGCCTGGTGAATGGGGTTCCTCCCATGCCCCCTTCCATGTCTCATAAACTATGAGTTTTCCCTTCCTTTATCAAGATGCTCGTCCTTCAGGAATATGCTGCTGATAAAATCACAGCTTGCATTTGCTTAATCCTGCCCTGGCTGTGCGCTTCACGTGTGCCGTCTTCAGTTGTCAGAAAGTGGCTTTTTTCATCCATTACGTTTCTGACTCCATGCAAAGTTTGTCAGCAAAGGTGCTCTGAAGTGCCAGTCACAGTGGTGTTTTTTGGTTATGTTCACATCTGGTCCCTTTTGCCTTCCCCAGCACCCGTTCTACTTCAAACCTTCCTAAGACCAGCAATCAAATTCATGTAAATCCAACGTCCACAGGGGCCTGCTATACCACAGGTTTTCGTTTGCCTCAAGTGCTCATCTGGGTTCCAGAAATGTGGCCAGAGTGTTGGTCACTGAACTTTTATGATCGATGTTCATGTGGGTAAAATTATAGTGAGAACGTTCCCTCTTCCAGCCCCACTTTCACACATGCTCCAGCCACTCTGGGTGAGCATTTTAGTAAATACATTGATTATAAGGCTTTCAGATAAGCTGTTGAAAGTTTATTAATTTTATTCAGCTGTAGTATAACCTTCTTCAGCCACGGGGAATCTTTGTGTTTTGTTTCTTTAACCTCTTGAGGTCTTTGTGGGGGCCACACAGTTTAAACATGACACAGAAACTTGGATAAAGTCCAAAGGAACTTAGCAAAAATGATTAAAGGCATGGAAAATGGGCACTACAAAGAAGAAAACGCATTGAGACTGATTATTTGAAAGAAGAATCTGGTGGGGAACAGGTCTTCTTTAGCGTTGTAAAGTAATGAAAAGTTGCTTTGGTAGGAAGTACGGCATATTTGAGTCGGTGCTGAATCTATGGAAGACTATTACTTTGTAAAAAGCACAGAGTCGGCCGGGCGCGGTGGCTCAGCCTGTAGTCCCAGCACTTTGGGAGGCCGAGGCGGGCGGATCACGAGGTCAGGAAATCGAGAGCATCCCGGCCAACATGGTGAAACCCCGTCTCTACTAAAAATATAAAAATTAGTTGGGCGTGGTGGCGGGCACCTGTAGTCCCAGCTTACGGGAAGCTGAGGCAGGGGAATGGCGTGAACCTGGGAGTTGGAGGTTACAGCCGAGATTGCACCACTGCGCTCCAGCCTGGTGACAGAATGAGACTTCGTCTCAAACAAAAAAAAAGTACAACCCCCTGACCTCTTCAGAAACAAGGCGATTCTATGAAGAATGGCTTGTGTGCTCAGTTATCATAGAGTCGTAGTGCCAAAAGAAACCTTAGAAAACGTTTATCTTTTAAGTATAATTAACATACAACAAAATGTGCAGATCTTGAGTGTTCAGCTTAATGAGTTTACGATGTTGCACACAGAGAACTCTGTCTGTGCAGTAAGTTAGTAAATTCTCTCACACCTTTTTTTTTTTTTTTTTTTTTTTGAGACAGAGCTCTGTCACCCAGGCTGGAGTGCAGTGGTGCGATCTTAGCTCACTGCATCTCTGCGTCTCAGGTTCAAGTGATTCTCCTGCCTCAGTCTCCCAAGTAGCTGGGATTACAGGCATGCGCCACCACACTTGGCTAATTTTTTTGTACTTTTAGTAGAGATGGGGTTTTACCATGTTGGCCAGGCTGGTCTCAAACTCCTGACCTCAAGTGATCCACCTGCCTCAGCCTCCGAAAGTGCTGGGATTACAGGCATGAGCCACAGTGTCTGGCCTCTCCTATCCTTTTCTAACTATTTCCTTACCTCCTCCAGCAGCCACTTTGGTGAGACCATGTTAAAGGTGGGGAAGAAGAAGCCCCAGATACTGAGTTGCCTGCCTTGGTCACAAGTGAGCCGGTCTGAGAAAACCGTGAAGCCCAGGTTTCCTGATCGCTATGTGGGAGCGCAGAGTGGCTTTCCTGTTGCCATTTCCATTTCCATTTCTGTGGGAGCCTTACTGTTCTCACCTGGTCAGAGCTCGAGTGCCTTAAAGTCCTGCATTTCTTCCCAGGCTTTGATTATAACAGTACTAATTCACACAACCAGAGTCATCTTCGTCATCTGAACTAGTGCCTTGTAATTCCAGAGAGACTCTAACTCACCTTGTTCCTGACTGGAAAAGAATATGAGAGAACTTTCCATGGAGACGGAATGTTGTCTCTCAGGTTTGGGTTGTGTACGATCATCAGAAATTCATCAAGCCAAACACTTTTGGATATATCTTTGGCTACCTCAGTATTCTCTAACTTTCGGGTTCTTGCAGCAAGAAATCATCTTTCCCTGTGTTGTGTTTAGAGGCCATTAGAATGACCTTTTGCCAAACTGTGCTGTGTAGATGTAATGTGAGCTTATTCCTCAGCTGTGTCCGGAAGATGCCTGCACATGTGCAGTTTCTCTGGTTTAACATGATCCGAAAGCTTTGCAATAGAGATGATATGAACCGAATGACGGTAGCACATTATATACCTGTGTAAATACATGAGAAAAAGATACCATGGTGGTTAATTTAATCAATGGCATTTTTCACTTCTCAAGAACCTTTGACCACATTCATGCACCAGCACAGTACTTGTCATTAGGTGGACATTGCAGCCTTTGTAGTAAATGTTCACCAGCAGGCACCTTGACTCACTCTCTCCACAAAGCAAGGTTATCAATCCAGGGACTTTGGCCAGAATTCAATGTCAAGAATTATATTCTTCATGTCGTCTTATTCTGACACGTGTTTATGGGCCTCCATCCATTTTCTTACTCTCCGCTGTGGTGAAATGCCTTCGGTGCTGGAAGCTGTGTCCATGACCCATGCTGGTAGAAGGTGAGGCTTATCTGTACCTAGCCATATGGTCTCCTGAGCGCTGGCCTTGGGTAAGTGAAAGGTGCTTCGTACATTTGGAGAGGAATTGTTGCATTCTGCCCATATTGGGACATGCCAGCATCTTAAGATTTTTCATTATTCACTGTGAATCAAGTGAGCACCTGTAGTTAGAATTGACTGAGTACAGTGGCTCGTGCCTGTGATTCCAGCACTTTGGGAGGCTGAGGCAGGAGGATCATTTGAAGCCAGAAGTTTGAGACCACTCTGGCTTACAAAGTGAGACCCCATCTCCAGACCCCATCTCTTGAAAAAAAAATAGAACTGCATGTGGCATGGCACATGCCATGTAGTCCTAGCTACTCAGGAGGCTGAGGTAGGAGGATTGTTTGAGCCCAGGAGTTGGAGGCTACAGTGAGCTATGACCCTGCCACTGCAGTCTGGCCTGGGCAACAGAGTGAAACCCTATGTTAAATAATAATAATAATAATGATAGGCCAGGCACGGTGACTCATGCCTGTAATCCCAGCTCTTTGGGAGCTGAGGTGGGTGGATTAACTGAGGTCAGGAGTTTGAGACCAGCCTGGTCAACATGGAAAAACCCCGTCTCTACTAAAAATACAAAATTAGCCAGGCGTGGTGGCGGCCCCTGTAATCCCAGCTACTCGGGAGGCTGAGTCAAGAGAATCACTTGAACCTGGGAGTGGAAGTTGCAGTGAGCTGAGATCACGCCACTGGCCCTCCAGCCTGGGAAACAGAGCTTGACTCCATCTAAAAAAAAATAATAAAATAAAATAAATAATAATGATTAGAGGGGTTTTTCACTGTGTTTGAATAAAAGACATGTTAGCAGGTGAAAAAAATGGGAGTACTGTTGGATATAGGTTTGAGTAGATAAGTTCTCTTGAGGCCTGTGAGTCAGGGTTCTAGGAATTCTCTTTCAGTTCCGCCTTTGATGGAATAACTGGCAGTGGTCAGATGAAGCAGGCGGGGGTCTGATCTGCTTCCTTAAAAGGTTGGCTCAGTTAAATTTGTACTGAAAGTGGGTTGGGAAAAATACTGTATCAAAAGTGCCTCTGTATTCCTTAATAACAGCTTTTGATGGGCTGTGAAAAGAACATCCAGATTACTATTCAGGTAAAATGGTTTGTGTTCTTTTGAGGAGTTTGAGCTGTAACTTTCGTTGGGTTCATGGTTCTGCCTCAGTCCAAGTCTTTTCTTCTAGGTAATCCCAGAATTGGATCTTTAACTTGTGTGTACTGCTCCCTTCCTTTCCTGAGTTAGGAATGTCTCTAATTTGGAGATAGTTCATATGGTGATACTTGAAAACACCTAATTGAGGGCAGGAATTGTTTGTATTTTGGTGAGAAGTTTTACTGTTTGAGTCTTAGAGGTCCCCCCACAACGAAGTTAATTCTAAAACAAGATTTTAGTGCTTTCACTTACCTTAGATTGAAGCTAGTCTGTTGATCAAACACACGAGTAAGTTTTATCCTGTAAATTTTCACTGCTGCACAGAGCCAAACCAAGAATTGAAATGAACAGTCTTGCTTGTGAGTCCGTCTGAACCTCTGTCTCCTAAGCGTTGTCTACGTCTGCAAGATTGCCTCACCTCCACAGCAAGAATGATAAACATGGTTTACCATTTATTTTGTGTTGTTCCCAGGCATGTTGGTGTTTGCAGTCACATGGAATACCCCTGCCGCTTCCAGAACGCTTCTGCCACCACCCAGCAGATCATTCCTCATCGTGTCTTTGCCCCTGTGTGCCTCACGGGTGCCTGCCAAGAGACCCTTCTGCAGCTGATCCCTCCTTGCCTCTCAGCAGCACATTCTGTTCTGGGAACACACCCGTTCTCTCGGCTGGATGTTCTCATCGTCCCTGCCAACTTTCCAAGTCTGGGGATGGCCAGGTATGTTGTTCCGTTGTGGCACTTGGGGTACGTACATTTTGGAAATTCTTTGACTATGTCTTGCTTTCCTTGAGCTCTGTCAGAGCTGTCATTTGATTAGAATGGAATGGCTGTGGTTGCTCATGCTTGGACATCTCATTGCTGCCTTGAGGAACAATTTAATGCAGACTCCCTCATGCATGAGCCTTTGAGTGTCGTGGGCTCAGTTCAGACTGGTGTTGAAAAGAAAAGGCTCACATTGTTGCTGGGACTGAGAATGCAGAGTGCCCCTGAGTGGTGAGTGTTGGGTCATGGCTGATCAGTGGCTGTTAGCTTGGATGATGACGGCGTAATGCTAATGAGCCCAAGGTTATAGCATCGGGCTCTGGGCACAGTAACATGACTTGGTCCCAAGGCCACAGGCTGCTCACCTAATCCTGACCAGCTGTCTCGTCCATTCTCACCACTGGGCACAAGGGCACCGACTTGAGAGCCCCTGTGTCAAATAGACTGTGGATGGATCAGTGTAAATCCATCCCCTACTGCCAGAAAAACAGCTCAAAGCAGATGACTTACTGTGGGGGGCAGAGAAGGAGTCACGTGCTACTGTTTTTTATATAATAAATGCACTTTTGCTATTGTGTCTTGGTTGGCTCCCTGTATTTATGTAAGCTAAAATCTGTTCATTAATGCCATTGTTCAGTCATTAATGGGTGTCTGTGTTCCAGTGAGAAAAGATAGAGAATGTGCTTGGTTATATTTCCATTTGAAAATCTTAATCATTAACAGTGAATATGCTTGACTGAGGATGGGAAAAATAAGCTCATCAAAACATGTGACTTCAAGTTTTTCCCTATTAGTCAAGGAAATTCCTGCTGCCAATTAATTCCCATGCTTTTGAGCAGCTGTCATTTGTGGTGTTTTCCCTGAAAACCGCACACGTTCTTAGTAAAATCATGAGCAGAAAAGACTGACCAGAACATTTGCTTTTGATCTTTACTACGTATATGTACTTTCAAAAGACTGGCTGGCTCGCCTTAATCCTTGAGGAGGTCTGAGAAAGTCATTTAGACCGATTTTTATCCTATATTTATGAAGATAAGGAATGCAGAAACTAGGAATAATTATATATATTTGGTTATGTGCATCATATAATTGTCTTGGATGTCTATATATAGAATTTGTCTTAACGGCGGTGGGGGGGGGGCTTCTTTTGTCCCTTTGAAGAGTCTGCTGGACTTAATTTAAGTGGTAGAAGTGTTGGTGAAGAAAGAGTTGTTCATACAATGTTTCTTACTTGTACACGGGTTTGAGGGGCCCTATTTGCTTGGGAGTTTTTAGCGCTTTATGAGAACTGCAGTTTTTAAGGCGTGCTTGCTGGCAGCTCCGATTCTGGCCTGAGGGAACCAAGGCCGAGTATGTTCGTGCACAGGATTCTGTCTTCTACAGCTCCTTCCTGACATCAGTCTGCCGAGGCCAGGATGAGCTGACCTGCAGGCCGTTCTATAGAGCTTCTCTTTTCAACTTTGCATGCCCAAGCAGGTAGGCTGTGTGTTTGCTGCTTTTTGCAATATTTAAAGTGATTTAAACATGCTTGACTCTGTATTTTTAAAGTAGTAAGCGTAAGTACCGTAAGGCCAAATGGTCCTGGGCACAAATGTTGAAAAATATGGTGGTGATAATAACTGAGCAGCAACAAGACGCTTTTATGCTTAAAAGCAGGAGAACCGCACATTCAGAATTTGTGGTGGGTTGTCAAATATCGTTCCCTTCCTTTTAGACTGTGGAGGTGAAGTCTGCCCGGGTCTGGATGTGTTTCTGGACTTGTTACCGTTCCCTGGACGAGAGCTGTGGAAGGAGGACTGTGGTATCTTCCACTGCCAGTCGGGGTGGGGGAAGGGGAGCGCTCTGTTTTCCAAACTCTGACTTCAGCTGATTCCACTTGCTTGGCTTGACTCTGTCGGGATCCCAACACCTTGGGCCACATGCGGCTGAGTGGGGTTTGTGACTCAGCTGGCTACTGGGGCCCTGCTGCTTTATTTACGGGTCGAGGCTTTGCTTGAGGTTTTATAAGCAAAACTAGAACAAAAACGATGGTTTTGTAAGTCAGCTTCGTACCCCTAAACAGGAATAGAGAAACTTCAAGGCTAGGAGGAGTCGTCCAAAAAGACCTCCACACTGAAACTTGCCATTGTCCTCGTAGATATAATACCGCCAAGAGATCAACGGGCTTCTTGGTAAATTAAATGGCTCCTTCCCGAGTCCATATTTTATAAACATGTAGGCAAGATGATAAATTCCATACCTCTGGACTTCTTTAGTGATCGGGTCTTAACTCTAGTGAACGGCTGGTTTTATGCCATTCCTGTGTATTTTCTTTTTCGGCAAATGATGTTAAACGTTCCCTCCTGAACTAAAATGGGAACATTGTTGTTGATCATGTCAAGGAGTTTCTGAGCATTTTGGATGATATTCATGATGATTTCACTATTTTAAATATTGCATATCATGGTTTTCATGAATAAGCTGAAAGGTTCCTCTTTGATTCTGTTTTTGAGCTGATTCTGGTATTTCAGTGAAGTGGGGAAGAAACACATTTATAAAACTTGAATGTATGATGATGACAAATCGGTTTATAAGAAGGTAAATAATACACAAGTAATATTTTAGAATTTTGAATGCTTTTCAAACATGGCAGTAACTAGAACATTTATCAGTACTGCTCTTCATGATTTTTGTCACCTTTAATATAACAGGAGCCATTACTAACCGGCCCCTCCCTGCCCCAGTCCTTTTCCGCATCACTGTTCAGGGGAGAGGGCGTTCCTTCTCTGCTGAGAAAAATCGCCGGTTTGCCTTTCAGATGCTCTCCTCAGCGGGTGTGTGTGGCCTTTCAGTTTTTGTTCCATTGCGTTTTTGCCTTCCATGAACACGGAATCTGCCATATCAGGAACCGTAAAGTGTACGTTCCTTGACTTGACTACTGTGATGTCTGTATGAAGATATGCATGCGGCCGGGCGCGGTGGCTCAAGCCTGTAATCCCAGCACTTTGGGAGGCCGAGACGGGCGGATCACGAGGTCAGGAGATCGAGACCATCCTGGCTGACACGGTGAAACCCCGTCTCTACTAAACATACAAAAAACTAGCCGGGCGAGGTGGCAAGTGCCTGTAGTCCCAGCTACTCGGGAGGCTGAGGCAGGAGAATGGCGTGAATCTGGGAGGCGGAGCTTGCAGTGAGCAGAGATCCGGCCACCGCACTCCAGCCTGGGTGACAGCGCGAGACTCCGTCTCAAAAAAAAAAAAAAAAAAAAAAGAAGATATGCATGCGTTTAAAAATGCATCTCTGAAGTACACACAGGTCTCTTCCTGTTGGTTTAGTTAATATTCTACCATTTTCATTGTCCTCGTGTGTTCTCAGAGTCTCTGCTGGGGATTGACTGGCAAGTGTAATATCTTAATTTTGAGAAATACATGAAAGGAGCTCATCATCACACTTACACTCTCTGTTATAACAGCAGTAACGTTAATGGAATCATATTCTAGAACCAGGCTTATGACAGTTGCTTAAAATGAACACCTTAATCTTACCTGTATGTGTGTGTAATAAATGCTTTGCTTCACATTTGTCTTTCAGCAGTTCACAATTACATGTCATGGGCATAATTAGGTTGGCAGAACTACCTTGCTGACATCCAAATATGTTCTTTTCTTTCCTTGTATTTGAATTTCAAGAATCTCTTGCAACTTATTTCAAAGTGGTTTTCCGTGAAGAGCCCTGAAGTTAAAAGCCATGTGTTCTGTGTTCTGCTTCATGGCTCAGCTGTTCACGTGCATCTTCACCCTTCATCCCACGAGGAAAATTGAGGGGAAAAAATGACTATTGTGTGGCTGATGACAGGTGACAGATTCTTTGACCTTTTCCCCACTCGTTCTTGTTCTTGTCCCCACCAGATAGTCTTGATCATTTGGTTCTTGTTTATTTATTCTTACAATAAATATTTATCAAGTGTATACTGTGTGCCAGATAGTACTTACGATGCAGAGCCTACATGGGTGAACGAGATTGAGGAGGTCTCTGTCCTTATGAAATGGACATTCTAGTCGGGAGAAAATTAGTGTGCGTGAAACAAGTAATTAAGACGTATGCTATGAAGAAAATAAAATCAAGTAAGTGTCACAGTGGGAGAATCAATAGCATCGTTAGGGTGAGAGGGAAAAGCTTCCTTAAAGAATGACATTCAGGCTAAGACTGAAGAATACAAAGGACTCAGCTTTGTGACCATCTGGTGGAAAAGCGCTCAGTCCACAGGCCTCAAGGTGGGAACCACTCTCGTGGGTTGGAGGAGAAGAGTGAAGGCCAGGATGGTGGCAGGTCAGTGAGGTCTTAGGACGGCTTTCCTTAGCCCCGTCCTTAGTCAGCTTGGGTGCCAGGAGCAAGTGAGCCACTAAGAAATGGCAAGATTGAGTCAGGTCCATCATTCTAGGCAGACAGGGGTTATGGGAAGAGACCAAATCTTTTTTTTTTTTTTCTTGGGACCGCAGATACCCATACCATCTCCCGACTGGCTGGTGAGAACCCGGCTGGCGTAGCAGCTGCCGTTCTTGAGCGGAACGCCCCACGGCCCAAGCTGTCAGGACACCTGGTGTCCAGACTGGCAAGGTCCCTTTGTAGAGAAGGGAGGAGTCCTGGACACCACGTTTTCTTCCCCCGCAGCTGCTGATTGATTCTCCGCAAGGTTTTTGGACGTCATTGGTCACAGAGAGGGAAGCTGTGGCTGTATATTTGCTCATCCTAGTTTTAAAGGTTTTTTGAATGAAAATAGGATTGACAATTAAAGACCGTAGAGAAAATTATCATTATTAAAATCTTCACAATATGCTTCACTCTAAGGAAAAACTATAAAGCTCCCTCTTACCCAGGCTTATTCTTAAAAGATTTGATTGTGCAATAAAGACTTCTGAACGCTTCTGCTAGTTCCTGACTATTGCACAGTTTTCTTAAGTACCTCAATTTGCAAA